TACAGATGCTTGCATCTGATAGAAAAAATAATGGTAATTCCTCACAATAGTTTCAGGTTTCTGAGGATTAGAGAATTTTTAATGTTACTCCTGTTTTTAAAGGATTTATGATACAAATTGCTCTGGAAATTATGGACATTTTAGCCAATTAATCTTTCTCCTGTATTGGGAAAAATTTCAGTCTGATAAAGCAAAATTTTTAAAATCATTTAGTGAAATAAAATATAATAGACAAATTACTGTGTATTCAATTCCTTTACTAATCTATTAACTTTTTTAAGGATGTTATGTGTTATCTGGACAGTTGAATGGTCAGTACTTCAGCCTTCCATTAATATTCACATTAATTATTTTGAAAGGGTCATAATTAATAAAATAAATATATTAATAAAGTTTGGATATAGTGGTTAGTTAGACAGATATTTAGCAAATGATCTTTAATTACAGTAAGAACAAGATATTACATTTCATTATTTTATTCGAATCCCATGTTTAATACAGATAGGAATCCACTCAATAGCATGACTGTGAAGAAAAGGATCTTTGCTTAGTGGTGAATAAGTCACTCAACTATTGCTGTAGTGTTCTGTTGCTGAGAGCACTAAAGCCAATAAAATTTTAGGGTGTATTTATGAATGTTGATTTCAAGTCAAAAGAAGGAATTATTTCTATACAAATACTTGGTAGGCTTCACTTGGAATGCTGTTTATAATTTTTGTCTGCTCATCTAAGAAAAGATATTGACATATTAGAAAGGGTTTAGAGAAAGGCCACTAGGATGCTTCTGGGGATGATAGGGTTGTCTTCTGGAAATAGGTTAAAATCTCTTATATTCTCTTGAGAAAAAAGAAGAGTAAGAAATGACCTTACTGAAGTATACAAGATTATTTTTAGAATCAATAGAACAAGGGCTCTAACATCTTTGTGTTAAGTTCTGAACACAATAGGATGAGAGGACAAGTGGCATTTCTAGAATCTTAGTTTGGAAGGAGGCAATCTACAAGGTTAAGGGGACTCCAATCTCTGAAAAATATGTTGTAGTACATGGAAAAGTAAACTAATTTCTGAACAATTTTTTAGAGAATAGACATATTCCAGCAAAGATGAATCATTTTAGTTGACTAACCCCCGATACTGAGTTTATCATACATGCTTCCTCACAAGGGAAGAACCTGCAGAAGAAGAAGACAAGTTCTGGTTAAAAAAATACTTACTATATGTTTATGGTTTTGTATTAATGTTAAGTTATAATTTTTACATTGTTTATAATTATCTAAGCCTTTAAAGCAAATTTGAGCCAAACATTTAATTTAAAACATCTTGTTCTGTCAAAAACTTTTGTTTTTTCCATTTACTGTTATATAAGTAACTAAAATATAAAAATTAGAAACTTATTGGGTTAAATAAAAAATAAATGAAAATGTTGATCATGAATTTATGTAATTTATTTTAAATCTTCATAAATCCTAAGTCCTCTGAACTAACTCAACTTGTTCAACATTAAACAGATTGTCAAACTTATCTAAGCTGGGTTAATTTTTTCAGTATAGCCAAGCACTCACATTGCTAATTGATTACAGATTGACCAGTTTCACAGTTCGAATCTCTCAGCTGAGACTCATATCAAAAATTGCAAGTTCACAAAATTAATTGTATACATTTTGCTGGATCATGATTCAATGAGAAGAATGGAATTATCTTTCACAACTGCTCATATTATAATAACCTTAAAATGTAAATAAATGGCGATTAAAAACTGATTGCTAAGATCTTAGAGCTGGGGATACACTATTGGAGAGGACACAAATTCAAGATTTGGAAAAGACAGACTAGACCAGTGTTTCTAAGCTAGATTTTCTAGACGACCTTCACGTATGGGCTTTGGTTGTCACAACCCCCCATTATCTCTACAAGGATGAAAAAACAGTTTGTTATAGTTCATAACAAAGATGATATGTGCACTTCTTAGACACCTGAAGGACTAAAAAAAAATGTTGACTCAGCATAATCAGCTTGTGACCCACCTGAAACTTACTAGCAACCCATCATTTGAGAAACAATGTACTAGACTTTAGTTAAAGCAATTATTTTTTCTAACAGGGTGTTTGGCATGTGTAACAAGTAGCCATTGGCATTCATGGAGGCTGGGATCTTAAAAGGGGGGATTGATAATTTCTTGAGAAATAAAGGGTGGGTTTCAGTTTTAACTTTTTATTCAAGGTTAATATGCAGGAACTGCCTCTCCAGGGCCAAACAGTCCTTTAATGTCACATGATATAACAAGTAACATCCTTCAAAAATAATTAAAAGAGTAGTAAGGCAAGACTTTCCTTTATTGAATTCATGTTGGCTTTCTTTATGATGTACTCTAGTAAACGACCTCGAAGATTGTAACAAAATGAAGTTCATTCAAACTGGAGTCAAGTTGCAAGTGGGATACCTCAGGGCTCTGTAGAGAAGGTCAAAGATCAGTTATGCAAATCTCTTTCTTCTATTTGACAGTTCAATAACGAGTGGACATGTGCTTCAGAACTGAAGATTACTAATGTTAATCCTATTTTTAAAGACAGTGATAAACGTTGCACTGGAACTTATAGATTGGTTAGTCTTACTTCTGTAATGGGAAAATTGCTTCTTCTCCTCTAACAAACCCTTAATAAATTGAGCTAACATACTCCAACAGATATAGTTTTCTTCATTAGTCTTTCATGTGGCATTATTTATTATATACATTTAGTTTAAAAAATATGTGAAAAATAAAATAACAAACAAGTAAATGCCAGGCCTAATCTTTAGCTTTTTTACACCCATTTCCTTTTCTAAATAGATCTATTTTCAATTTTTTGCAACTATCAGTATGCTGGTGCAGTGGGATTATATTTGCATAGCCTTAAATTATCCAGTTAAACATAGAAATTGATGGTTATAGACTTATAAGCAAGGCTAGGGCAATGGCAGCAAAGCTCGAATAATCTGTTGAACATTATAAGCAAGATAAATGACAAGCTTTGTGAAAGCAAATACTTGAATTATTGGAAAAGCAAGTTAAACTTATTGCAAGTCTCATGGTGATTCATTGTTGTCATGTAATAATTTTACATGAATAACAAAGAGCTAAGTATATGAAAGTTGAAATAAAAAAGGGTAATTAATATCTAGTGACCATTACAAAATGCATATGATAAATGCCATTGGAGGCAAATATTTCATGATCTTTGATATCAATGACAGTTTATGGTTACTTGAGTAAGGAAGCACATTATGCTGATATGATAATAATGTTATTACACCTTATGGTTGTTTAGAGAGAGAATGAGTAACCATGGTGGCCTCAGTATTTTTTTATTACAAATATAGCAGTGAGCGAGCTATGGACGGAAAGAAAGCTTTAGTTATTCCTGTTGTTTCATACAAAGAGAATAATTTTCCAGTTTGTTGCAACATGACCATTTCTATTTACAGTATATTAATCTACTGATTACCATTGTTATATACATGATTATTCTGTGTAGTTAATGTTTTTTTAATACTCCCATTCATAACTAATTCAAACATTCCCAAGAGCTTATTTTATGTTCAGCATTATATTTGCAGTTCCCAGTATGTTCCACTATTATAATTTTTGTTTCTTTTCAATTACTTGTCAGATTTCATTTTTCAAAGTATAAATTTTTTTTTTTTTAATATACCTGTTTAATGATAAATAAAAAAGGTTTACTATGTTATATTAAGATAATTTTGGAGCCTCACCATGTCATTACAGTTCATTTCACAAAGTGTGAAATGCTTTGTATGACAACCATGCATTTTGATAATAGGGTCAGTACGTGACATGTCAATAGCCCTCAAAACCAAAGATTGATGGCTTTTTATGCTATTTAGCAGGGATGTTGGTGCCAAAAAGATAAAAGATTTAGTCAAGTTTCACATCTCTAGGTCAAATGGTGTTTATGTGACATAACCCCAAATATTTGATCCAAAATGGCTCCCATACAGGACCAGTGAAATACAAATACCAATAACTTCTTTATTTTTAATGCTACAGTAAAATTTAAACTATTATTTGAAAGATCTCTTTATGCCACCCTAGCCAAATATGCTATTTGTATAGCATTTAACATCAAACAGAATTGTTGCTCTTAAACCTCACTTGGACTGTCAGCCCCTACTTAGATGACCAAAATAAGGTTGGACAATTTCATCCTCTCAGTTTGTACCAAATCTCAGCCTGGAATCTTGGTGGAATCAGGGGATATTTATTTATTGCATTGTGTCTGGCTAATTTATTTCCTTTCTTTTAATGCAATGTTTTATGTTTAGGGTTGTAGCACTGTAAGCCTGCAAATTCCACAGCAATGCAAATTACATTTGGAATTTGTTACTGTTAGTTTTGCATAAACATGACATTAAAACTTTTATGTACTAAGCTTAAAAAGTTTGTCTTGTCTTAAGCTGTGAATCTGTGTAAAATATTTTCTGGGATGTACATTGTATTCTCTGTGATATGCGAGTCAGCTACATGCATAAGTGACCAGCATGTGAGATGTTATGAAATGTATGGTATCTATCATTTTGGTATGTAATACATTGCACACTACTTATTAATACTTAATGTGTTCTAGTAAATTGATGCACTTTCCTGCAGTAAATGGACAAGTATTCTTTGACAAGAAATTATGTGATGCCATCTATGGATAGAATAGTCATATACATTTAAAAAAAGAAAAAATTATCTAATGTTTTCTTAGTGTTTTAGAAACTTTTCCATTTTTGTATAACTCAAACATTAATAAAATGAGTCACAAAATTTCACAACTGTAAATACCAACACTAAATTTTAGTTTAATGTTTCATAAAGGTGGGTCATTGTTGTAAAGTGGTTTTTTTTAGTTAATTGCAGTTTTTTAAATATCTTTAACATAGTATAGGTTAAAAATTTCATTGTGAGGAAGCAGATATGATTGAAGTAAATTCTAATATGTTCCTTTTTGTGTGTTTAGGTTTACAACAGGCTCAAGTCAGAGCTGCTAGTAAGAAAGCTGGAGGTAGTGCTAGGAACCAGAGACCACCTCAGAAAGGAAAACACAGGGGATGGAAAAAGCAAGATGGTAACTTTGTCAAAAAGGGCATGATATTGGTTCGTCAGTTAGGATTAAGATTTCATCCTGGGTTAAATGTAAGTATTTTAACTTATTATATAGCTATGAGGCTGAATTGTAGACACATGGTTAAAGATTTCCAAAAAAGCCTAAGATTTTCCATAAAAAAAGTGTAAAATATAGAAAAAAAATTGCAGTGTTGTCTTTCTTAATTTTAACATAATGCATTTTTTATTTGCGATTGTATATAATGAAAGAAAACTTGTAAACAATTTCTAAGTACCTTACATAAAATTTAATTTAGCATTATATCTTAGGCTATAAGAACCAAACTGGATAATCCCTTTTATATTCAGTATCCAAGTCTAGTCTGGATTATTTATACATTATTAGAAGGGAAAAAAAAAGCTTTTTGATGGGATTTTTGTAACTTAGCTATGAATGCAAGAATTGCACTACCAGTAGCATGGGTAATTAAGCAGATATGCTTAAATGATTCATTTATATGCATTTTTATTATTAGCTATATCTCCAGGAATTAGGAATCTACTATATATTTAAGCTTTGAGAGCCTAAAAGCTTAATTTTTACTTTGTTTTATATCCATAATTAAATATCATGTGTAAAGTCTGAACTTTGTTTTTCAGTGTAAACAGTAAGAACTGAATTGTAGATTATATTGTAACCTAGTTTAATGCATTGATGAAATAATTTGAGAATTACATGAAATTATCTGTTTGCATTTTTAGCCAAGTGTTCATGCTCATGTGTAGTGTTGTTAATATTATTTTACTTAGGTTGGTATTAGTCATGATCGCACCCTCTATGCTTTAGAAGAAGGTACAGTTATAGTGACTTGCGAGAAGCTTCGACCAAGATGGGATCATGAATGGGTTCAGAAGTTTTATGCAAATAGAAATACAGATGTGGTGTATAAGAAATTTTTTCACGTAATTACTGAACCCCAAGAAAAGAAATTCAAATTGGTTAATACTGTTTAATTTGACGTTGTAAATTAAAACTTTTGCTAGATTTGTATTATATATAAAATAGAAAAGTACATCCTGTTATTGGAGAAAACTAAAATATTGTATCTTAAATGGTCATAATAAATCCATATCATAACTCTTAAAATTGTGTATTATACATCAGCCTAGAGATTAACTCGTGCTTTACAATCTTGTTGTGAAAGTTTGTATCAAATTAGTGTTACTTGTACCTCTAGTAAAAGAACAGTTCTGTACAGTGTACTGTTTTTGTTTTGATTGATCACAGGTAAAAGTTGACAATGTCAGAAATACATAATTGTAATTTACTTTGCTTGCTTTTATAGAATGCCAAAGTTAAATTTTCAGGTAGTATGGGGTTGTAATGACTGGCATTTAAACCATTTATATTTACTTGAAAAAAAGTTAGACGACATAAATTTTAAATTTGAAGAAGTACTGTTTCATAAAGGTTTTAGCATATTTTCTAACTTTTCAATGTTTTAAAGTCAACAAAGGTAATCCCACCAAGGAAATTGTGGCAATGTTTCTTACAATTTGAACAGAAGTTTGTCTAAAACTCTTTGTGAAATTGACTAATATAAAAACTTTTAGAAAATAGATTACTATGCCAAATATTATGTTCTACACTAAAGAAAAATTAAGACATCTCAAAAACTAGTTTCATAAGTTCCTTTTATTAACAAGAATATGGATACAAAGTGCAATAACATAGTACATAAATTTTAGTTAAGCACCTTGCAATTTTATAAAAGATATACAACAGCAACAAATTTCAGTGACCTAATAATCTATTGGACTGCTCAATTAGCTTTTTTTTTTTCATACCTGTGCATAATGGGATATAAAATATACAACAAGAATTTATAGTTTTGACTTGAACAAAATATGAATATTTTAGTCTTGGTACTGTTAACCAAACATAATCAACTTTTTAACCTTCAAAATTGGAAAACTTTACAGATTATCACTGCATCCCTCTTGTAAAGTAACATGGAACAGAATTTAAAATCTAAGGATGAAAAGGCTTTAGCTTTTTAGTATATTGGGTGTTAGCAAATAACACTTTGATTTTACCTGCACAACTTTGGTTCTAACACAATTATAATCCATCTTTGTAAAAAGAAAAACTGGTTTGGCTACAAACATTTGTTATCCATATCAAATCTCAAGTACAATTGGAAAAAATTCTCAACAGAAGTTATTTTGTTTCAGTACAACATATGAGGTATGATATACATCACTTACACTAAACTGTATCCTAAAATTGAAATTCTATAAAAAATAATTACAATAGCAGCTTCCTGTATAGTGAAACTACATTAAAAAGTGTAAGTTAAGAAATTAGAGCTCAAAGCAGTTGTAGCTAACACAAATATTTTCCTTATACTAAGTTGTTATAAGTTCTCGCTGTTTGGCAACCTCAGATAATCTGGCTAATAGAAATTGTTTGTCTCTTCCTTCATCAATAAGCTGATCTTTTAAAACATTAGCCATGTGCTTGTGAGCTGAAGTCTGGGCAGAATAATAATACAGAGCCAAGCTGGAAAACAAAACAAATCATATTAAACTTTATCATTCAATTACACATTTAATACCATTAATAAAATTCTTAATAGGAGCAGAAATGGGCTGATGAGAGGTAACATTAGTCAAAACTAGAATTCTCAGCTGGTTATGTTACTATAGTTTCATGCAATCTGACCTGTGTCGTGTATAAAATAAATGCTGTTTGAAGTTAAAACTTGATGTTTTGCTTGAATACTACATGAAAAAAAAAAACTTTCTTGCTCCATCTTACTATAATGGATGTAGTGTGTATAGGTCTATCTGTCAATGTATGTGACCGAAATAATAAATGCAATGTGGCGCCATCTATTGAATGGCCCCACAAACAAAGATCCATAAAAAACTTTCACACTTTGGGTATTCGAGATTCAGACAATTACAAAAATAACTGTGGTATGTACAACAACCATTTCTTTATAATAGAACACAGTTTTAAATAAAAAGTACTCTCACAACAAGTACACGACTTTACTAGAACTGTATATAAAGGTTTAATTATGTCTTTATTGATGTAATTTTTAAATGTAGTACTAAGAAACTGGAGTTTTAAAAAATAAATTATTTTTTTCAATAAAGGGCAGCAGTGTTAATATATAAAAACATTACAGTTTATATCAGTAAAATTTATGAATATTTTGAGCTCTGTATATTGAATCATTTTGATGCAACAAGTTGTGTATGACGAAAGAGAACAATCCAATCACTTTTTCCATGCAGTACTTTCCAGTAAAAAATACTTTTTTAGAACACGATAACTTTTTTTACAGTTTTTTAAAATGAGGTATGAATACTACAATTAGTAATTGCTAGCATAAACAGCCACCCATAGGGCAGCATTTTTGCTAGTGGTTTTAATGATACTAATCAAGTTATCATTATGTACAGGTAGTATGTAATAGTATGGGTTATGATAAAACAAAAGCTTATTGTACTTATAATATCACCTAAATTACTATATACATGTTTATGGTTGAATCAAAATTTCACTATTTCAACAAATTTTCATCTAAGTAAATAAGTGACTTTTCCAGACAAGCCTACAGAAAAAATGACAAACCTTATAACTCTAATTCTTTCACAGAACTTTTCCATCTGGGATGTTGTGCAATATACAGAACTTGACAGTATAAATAATATTTAAAATAATAGCAGGAGAACCCAACACAACTAAAAAAAAAAAAAAAAAAGCAAAACTTAAAACCTACCACAAGATAATGAAACAAGGTACGGCAAATCCAGCACTTGTAAGGAAGTCTACAATACTCTGTAAGGTAGTTGGCCAAGTACGAATCATTTCTTTAACTGGTAACCACATGATTGAGTAGATACGGAATGGACCACAACCAAAAGATGGTGAAACCCTTCATACACACACACAAAAAAAAATATGTTTACAAGCTATTTATACAATTATAAGCTTTCATAACAAGTGAGAACAGTGAAGTAACAAACAACAGAAAAATTGGATATATTTTAAAACCTGATATATTTACATAATCTAATATTTAATCACTTCTCCAACCTTTTACCCAAACGAATGGTAGAAGGTGCAAAGAGAATACGTTTTGGCTTTCGTAACTTCTAATTTAATGTTCTGTTTTAAGTATAAACTGCTTTAATGTAGCATTATTATGATTATACTTTCTATCTGTAGTATCATGTGAAACAGAATTTATTGAGAAAATTTGCCTAATGTTTAATTTCAGCATACAGTGACTTTAACAACAACAATTATTTTTTTAAACTTTTAATTAGTTATGTATGTGATTAACTACTGCATATTTAAGGTTTCTTAGTACAGTGATTAGCTAGTTCAGTTCTTCCTGGATTAGGTAAAGGTAAGATGAAGTAACTTTAATACTTACTCAGCAATAGAATATCCTAAAGGAATGATGCACAAGACAAATGACAGCATCAAGACAATCATAAAGAAAGTGTTGGAGCGGGAAGCTCTGTATGGAATCTGTGAAGGAACACAGTTCACCATCACGGTAAACTTAAAAATAAAAATTGGTGTATTAAAAACTTTTGATTCAACTGTTACTATCAATGTGTGTTAAAAGTACTCAAGATAAGTTAATTTTTTTAAGTAGACACTAATTAACAATTACTGTATATCCTACATTTTTGCAGCTAATCTGCTGCTGTCTTCAGGAAATTCCAAAGAACTTGTTTGGTAGCAGAGGCTCAAGTTCAATCTCTGGTTTTCCTCTTAGAAAGGCAAGAGTGATATCCATTCATCTGGGCTCTCACTCAATTGGGACTTGAATCAACTAATCTTTCTAATGGTTTCAAGAGTGGTATCCAAGTTTTTCTGACTTCTACAGTAGGTTAATGAATGTGTTATCAGTTAGGTGGATGTAGAAAGCTTCCTTTATGTTTCTTTTTCTCATGTAGCTTATTACTTTAGTATTATTATTTAATGTATGGTCTTCCCTGAATTGACTGGCTGTTGCTGATAGATCAGTATTACAATCTTGTATGTCTTATTTTGTTCTCAAATTCTGACATTTATTAGTTTTATTTGATTTTCTGATGTATTGGAGTCTACACTCACAAAAAGATGTTGTTAAACATTTTGTTGTTTTCCATTTGGTCTTTGGCTTACACTGTCTGCAACCATACTACATTGTTGCTTTTGAAAAATGTTTTGATTTTATGCTGTTTACAAACCATGACAATAAATGTATTTGAATGTTCTATAAGGTGTCATCACTAACATCTCCCAGCCTACTTACCAACTGGGTTAAAAAGGTTAACTCACTAGCTTCTGTTACTTGTACTAAAGTGCAATGACCTACTTGTACAGACTTCTGACCTTACATCTAAAACCTAGCTTTGCTGTGGTTGGATTCTGATCTTCTCTGGCACAACTTCATATGCAGAGAATAGGTGCATTTATGCATATAACTGTTGTTCTTAGGGAATAATTTTGGTAATCTTTGGTTTAAAATGTTTTCTTTGCTATTGTAAACACTTTTACCATTCATATTTTGAGAAATTGATGTATATTAAATTTTCTGAAAGGACACGACCTTGATTGACCTGAATTGTCATAGGGTAGGTCCACAATACCTTGTATATATTACATTTCTGGGTTCTGATAATCTGTGTTTAACCATTTTTGACAATGATAGTCATAGAAAAGTATAAGCATTTAAAATGTTTTTTACACCAAAAACTTTGAAAAGTTACAATGATTCATACAAACACTATTCTGCACACTATACAGCAGCAATAGGAGGTTTAACAGAGATTCTGAGGAAAGCCAATCCTAATACAGAAATATTTGTCAATCTTAGTAGTACAACTTTCCCAATCCTAAATGGCTATACATTGATTTTTAGAATGACAGCTAATCAATGTGCTGTTAAACTATTAATATTAAACCGATTAACATACGTTATACGAGTTCTGTGTTTTTGCCCGTCAGCATAGTCTAATTCCTGATCATTTGTCTGATTCCATTCATAGGCTAGTTAGCCAGATCTTGGTAAGATAGCAAAGCTTTAATATTACAGGAAACTGCAAATTGATGAAATGAAGTAATTCTTCCCCAAACAGAATTATTTTAATTGTTCAGGAGCAGTCTGTAATAAATACTTTAAAAAATAGCTAAACTAAATATGCATTTACTCAAGATATTTTAGAAACACTGACAGAAATTACTAATTACAGTTAAGATCCTAAAATGCAAACTAGTTGTCTACTATTCTCACAAAAATCACAATATACTATTATCACTCTCTTTTTCAAACCATTTTGAATTTATCATGTATATCTAAGGTTTCAAGAAACAAAAGTATAGAGGTTAAAATCATAGAAATATTCTTAGTATTACAAATAATAAATAAAATTAACATGACCTAATTAAAAATAAAATTTGTAACAGAGAACTAACCTGTTTGATATAGAACAAAATGAAGTATTTAATTACAGTGATTCCTGGAAGTAATGGACTATAGAAAGTACCAAGCCTAGAGGCATAAAAAAATGCAGGCAAATTAACGTAAATACATACTAATAAGAAATCATGTTTGATGATAACATATCACAATAAAATAATAAAAAGTATCAACAAAACAACTAAATCTTTAGACAAAATTCCAATGGACTGTTTGTTTGTGTTTCAAGTGCAAAGCTATACAATGGGCTATCTGTGCTGTGACAACCACAGGTAGTAAAACCCATTGTTTAGTATACAAGTTCTCAGCTTACCATTGAGCCACTGGTGCAACTCCATTCCACTAATAGAGCTTTAATAGTTTTTCAACTTTTTGACTAGGTTACTTATTTAATGAAGTGAAATAATCTGTTTTATCAAAATTTTATTCAATTTATATTTAGGTTTGTTATAAATAAATACTAAACATTTTTTTTATATGGCTATATGTTTGAGAAGAAAATTATAGAACTTGTTGTATAAACTGAAATAATTCATGAAATATCACATGGACATCTTATACAGTTGCATGGTTTCACAATGTTTGTAAAATGACTTATAAAATTAACATTATATATTTATAACATTATTTTTAAACATCAATTTGAGTAGACAAAATAATGTTAAAACTATTGAACTATTTACAATGTATAGCAATAAATCCAAAGCAGCATAAAAAAAGAATCTGATAAACCTGTAGACAAACACTCAGAGCTATTGTAGTTTTAAGACTTGGAAATACAGTTAACATCAGCAAATTATTTAACAGTATGTAGTATGTGCCTACACAGATAACCATTAAAGCTTCAGGATGCAAAAGTTTGACTAATAAAGTCAAAGATGTATACAACAGATTTTGAAATAAGAGTCCAGTCATCATCAGTTGAGTGTTTGAAATAAAGGTATGATAGCCTCATGATACACAATATCAGTGAAATGTTGGAGAGTAGGCTATGCATACACACATTGACAAATAAAATAAAGCACCCAGATATAGGTGTTCAATAAATATCAGCAGTTGATTAAACACAAATATTATTAGCTACTATATAATTAATACCAGCATAGTTCTTAACAATAAACACACAGGATTACGAAGTTTGGTCAACAGAAGTTGTATTTCAGAGTCAGATGTGCACAAACAGATAACACAGGTGATATAAGTAATTTTTGGATGCAAGTTCAGTCAATACCAGCAGTGTGACTGTGTACACAGAGATAAATACAGTTGAAAAAGCTTCAGGATATAGAAGTTCAATCAAATATCAAAATATTTAATGGTATACAGTACATAATGTACATAGATAAACATAGTTATGACAGGTTTAGGATATTAAAACTGAGCCAAAAGCACATGATCTTGAGAACAGACTATGTATCTGTACCAACAAACACAGCTACTGCATCTTCAGGTTGTAATAGTTCACTCAATTCCAGCAGCCAACAGTGTTTCAGTACATACACGCAAAGAAAAATGAAGCTAATAAAACATTAGTAAACAGAATTCCAATCAATTGAGTGTTTAAGACTGCACAGCTAATATATCATCAAGGTATACAAGTTCAATCAGGACAGTATATGAGAGCAGACTATAAATACAAACAACTTCTACAGAAGTTAAGTATGCACACACACACACAGCTTCAAAATAAGCTTCAGTAAAAACAGAATGATGTTTTAGAGAGTAGCTTACGTACACAAACACATCTTCAGGACAATCAATATCAGTAGCACCTTATGCTACAGCTTCAGAGTAAAGAAGATCAAACACTCTCACTCAAAGAAATAGTTAATATGCCTCGAGGGTAAAGAAGCATAATAAAAACCAGCAACGTGCTTGAGAAGATCACACACAGAAACACAACTACGGCATCCTTTAAAGTAACAGAAGTTTGATCCAGTGGCACAGGAATAGATGAGACAACGGGGAAAGAAACTGCTCCAGGGCTCGGAGACATGGGGACTCAAAGTGTGTACCAAAAAATAGGTGAGTTTTATATAAAAATATTGAATAAATGATAAAGAACATTAAAATATGATTTCTCAATTTTGTGTTAGGATTAAAGACTGAGTTGATGATGCTAAAAACGAGTACTATTTACTTCCAGTTGGCTAAGGCATAACTGTTCTGCTTTCATGTGTGGCACCAACAAAGCAAGCTGCAAGCATCTACATCCAGTTAGAGCTGTCATTTTTTAGGAGTGAGTGAACTTGTAAAATATTAGTTGATATAATTTTTCGTAACATTATTAGAAGAAAATAATTTGAATATATGACATCATAAGAGAAGGTTTAGTGCGTAGAGGGGAGGGGACAAAGGAAAATCTTATATCAATACCTTTTCAGATTCTTCTCTACTAGTGATTTAATTAACAGGAAAAGTGTTTGAGAGTACACTGTATAAACAAACAAAAGTTATACAGCTAAAGTATATAGAAGTTCCATCAACACTAGCAGTGGTGAGAGTAGACTATGCAGACACAGACTGGCAAACACAACTATTATGGCTTCAAGATATACAAACTGCTTGAGAGAACACTAGTACACAAATACAAATATTATAGCTTCACCATAATAGAGCATAGAAGTTTTGTAGAGTTTACGCTAGATACACACATGAACAAACATAAATTCAGGATGATACAGAATTCCGATCAACACTAGCAATGTGTTTGATGGTAGACTGTATACACACACACAAATCAAATGAATACAGCTGCTAGAAACAGATGTTCAGTCGACACCAGCAGTGTTATAGGTTAAACTATGTATACGCATACATAAGGGTAAATGTAATTACTACAAATGCAGGATAAAGAAAATTGGTGAATTGTTGTAAGCATACACTAACAAAGTTGTTAAGGGTTCAAGACTGAGAACTTCAATGGATTATTTTACAGTAGATTTTGTGCAGACAGAAAAATACAGCTATTGCAACTTTATAATACTGAAGATCAATCTACATCAGTTACTTGAGAATACATATGCTATTACAGTTTTAAGATAATGACACTCTTTTACTACCAGCATAGTGTCTGAGAGTACACTAGATCCAAGACATTAGATGTAACATCAAACTCCTGCCTGCCGATTTTTTTAGCACAGGTGCAGTGGGTTACTATGAACCTGAAATATAAGAACACATAGTATTAATTATATGTTTGTTCTATTGAATATATAACATTCCTAATTCATGCACCTGAAACTGAAAAAACCAAAACAGTGTGGAACAAAGCACTGATACCTTCCATGATACATCACAATTCTTGCATTTGAAGTTTTATAAAAATCCCCAATTTTCTTGTCTCTGAATAAGAGTAATAGATATGGCGGCATTTTGTTTTTCTAATGTTAAACTTGAAGTCAGTTGCATAAAGTGTAAAAAGTTTATGTAGTATTCATTCATATATTTAATATCAGATAACAATGAATATTATTATTTTGGCGTATTGTTCATTCATTTTTTATATAGAGGGATTATACAATGAATAATCAACAATAAAATCCAACCATTAGCCCCCTTCCGATCTACCTCACGTCTTCCAAACACTTCTACACACTTGAGTTTACACCATTACATCACTGTTCTTTATTATACACCTGGAAAAAAGTTAAGCACCCCC